GAGACCCCATCAGCATGGTGGCATATCTGAAGTCCTAGCTACTCAGGAGGCGAAGGCAGGAGGATCACTGGAGTACAAGAGTTCAAGGGTACAATGAGCTACAATGGTGCCATGGCACTCCAGCCTTGGCAACAGAAACTCTGTCTTTAATAATTAATAATAAAATAAAAATTAAAAGACTGCAAGACAAACACAATTCAGACAAGTCTCTATTGGCAAAATGAGAGAAGTCGGATCATTTGTCTCGGTCCATTTTGTGCTTCTGTAACAGACTACCTGAGACTGGGTAATTTATCATGAATGGAATTCTGCATCAATTTCCTGGCTCATATTACAGAACTAAGTTGAAATGTATTAAAATCCCACTGTTAACATTTTCATAACAAACAAAAATTCACAGGCCAAAAAACAAAAACAGGGAGGGCCAGGTGCAGTGATTCACACCTATAATCCCAGCACTTTGGAAGGCTGAGGTAGGTGGATCACTTAAGGCCATCCTGGTCAACATGGTGAAACGCCGTCTCCACTAAAAATACAAGAAATTAGCTGGGCATGGTAGCGTGTGCCTGTAATCCCAGCTACTCAGGAGGCTGAGGCAGGAGAATTGCCTGAACCCAGGAGGCAGAGGTTACGGTGAGCCGAGATCGCGCCATTGCACTCCAGCCTGGGTAACAAGAGCGAAAAACCTGGCTTCACTGCCTGTTCAGAAACTACACAGATGGATGGTGGATAGTGAACAGAAAGGGGTTACCGTAGGGGAATCTGCGTTGTTCTAGCTGTTCCCCACACCACTCATCTCTGAGGAGAACCTGACACTGATTAGTCAATGAGCCAGACAAATGCTGGCAGCAGATCCAGTGATGGTAACCTGCCTATCAGTAGATCCTTCCACTGGGTTCACAATTTTGATCTATGCTCCAGATATCTGCTAGATCTCACTGATTCTGGTGCCTTGATGCCCGATTATGCAGCCAATGATATCATTCGGAATGGTGGGTTTATGAGAAGTGGTCTGAGCAGTGCGTCTAAACCTGCACCCATGCATTGTGGGAAAACTAGATTGTTGCACTGTCAACTGATGCAGTCTGGTCAACTCTAGAAGTGGTCCCTCCAGGTCACAGTTAAGGTACATGAACAAAGTGGTATGGTGAAAGCTCACACCGTTGCCACCTGTGCTGTACCTGTCCTGGTCACCTGCGAAGATGACAGAATTGGACAGCTTGGGCCAATATGGGATGGCCATACACTTGGGGGAGACTCCAACATGACCACACAGACCTGTCTGACACACTCAATGATGGACTGCGGAATGCCAGCGATAGGGATGGCTCGCTCAGCGGCACTGGGGAGCACGTCCCCTGTCCCTGGACCCGAGCCATGTACTTTCTCATATTGGAACCACTTTTTCCAATGAGCCACACTAACTAGCGGGGACCACCAGCCTCAGGGTGACTGGGGGTGGGGGCCTACTGGCAGCTGTGCTATTGGTCATGGAGCTACTGCTATCCTCTTCCAATCTGGCTTTGAAGACAGCACTAGTGGGTCCAGGAAAGGTGATAATTCTCTCAGGACGACTCCGTTCATGAATCAGCGGTGCTGATATATGCACCCTCTCCTCATGCATCTTAACTGATGCTTCTTTCTGATGATACTGCCAACTTCTTTCCATGCATAAGTAGCCACGTGGTGAAAGTGACATTTAATCCAAAATCACACTGGTGTCCACATCAAGCAGTGCTATGGGGAGCTGGACTTGGAGTCATTAAGTCTTCCTAATAACTTAGCTAAAACACAAATACACTGTACAGCTGTAAAGAGATATTTTTTCTTTATATTGTATAAGCTTTTTTCTATTCAAAAGTTTTGTTTTTTGCTTTTTATTTTTGTTAAAAACTAAGATACAGCACACACATTAGCCTAGGCCTATACAGGGTCAGAATAGCCAGTGTCACTGTCTTCCGCCTCCACATCTTGTCCCACAGGAGGGTCTTCAGGGACAGTAACATGCAAGGAGCTGTCATCTCCTGCAATGACAATGCCTGCTTCTGGATACCTCCAGGAGGGCCTGCCTGAGGCTGTTTTACAGTTTGCTTTTTGTTATAAGGAATACACTCTAAAATAGCAATAAATAGGATGTACATAAACCAGTAGCACAGTCATTATTGTATTATGTACTGTTCATAACTGTATGTGCTGGACTTTTACCTAACAGGCAGCACAGTAGGTGCGTTTTCACCAGCAACACCAAACACGAGCGACACGTGAGCTCCGAGCTGAGGACAGCTACCACAGATAGCCTAGGCGACTGGAATTTTTCAGTTCCATATGATCTGAGACCCCTGTCTACATGTGGTGCACGACTGTACATACCCTACTGGTTCTCTCCGGACAGCTCTAATACACTGGCCACATGCTGCATTCTCTCTGTCATCTGTTACTTCTCCATTTCTGTCCTGCATCTTAGGCCACCATCTCAAGTTAGTCCTCCGCATGATGGCTTTGTAGTATATACATACAACTTAGATCACATAGTATTTGTTCTGTTCTTTTATATAATATTGATTTTAATTTTAAAGTTCAAGTTTTGCTCCTGTTAAAAGCTTTTCTATGACATATTTAAATTTTCCCTTCCTAGCTTCTTCATCTTACACATCTCATTATTTAATTTTGGAAAAAGAAAGAGCTCCTGACTTAAAAAATAGCTGTTTCCTACGGTCATGTTTTTCAACAAAATGCTCTTTTGCATTTCAATGCTGTTTCTGTCCTTCATATTGCTAGTCTTCTTCAGGTACTCTCCTCTGAATGGGAAACCTACCCAGGCCTGATGTCTGCACAGGCTAGACTCGAACTCCTGGGCTCAAGCGATCCTCCTGCCCCCCACATCCCAGCTAACTGAAACTCCGGGCATGCACCACTGTGCCTGGCTTGGTATTTGGCCCTAACATGGCTCTGCTGCACTCACGGCCAACCTCCTGCACCTACTGCCTGCTTATCACAAGAAGAGGTTTACTTCCAGTCTGAAGCAATTGTGATTCTTTTCTTACCAAAATTATGAAAAACTACAATGCCCAGAGTCATCTGTTTCCAGGGTTCTCCCAGTATCACTGCTGATGAAAAACTTGTCCCCCAACTACTTCCACTCCTCGCCATTTGACACTGCTGAGCTCCAGGGTTTGCAAATTAGCAAGAGGAGGTACGAGAAGGAATGAAGACGAGAGCTCCGCCTACCCGCAAAGCAGCTCCCACTCCTTCCCTACCATTGCAGTCAGTGCCTTTGAGGTGGGGCACACAAAGGTGCGTCAACATGGAAATACCACCTTACATTTCTTCAAAAGCATTCTTATGTCGTTCTTCTCTCAATTCAACAAAACAAGTAAAGAAAATCTCCTGGACCCCACAATTCAACAAGGCAAGCAGATGAAAACCTGGACCCCAAGGGAAGTGGAGGGAAGTTTAATGCATTAAATTTAATGTATTAAAATTTCATAATCACCCAGGGAGTATTGTCACTAGTGTTATCTGTAATTTACGGCTGAGACAACTGGTGCTCTGGAAGCTTCAAGACATCTGCCCATAGTCACCTGGCCTGGGACTGAGCTTTTCCAAGATCACTCTTCCTTACTTACCACACTGACCCTCAGCACAAGAGGAGGCTCTAGCTCCAGCTGGGACCAGATTCCAGGTTATATGATGTCACCTCAGGGCTCTGCTAACACATTTCTGAATGAATGCAAATTTTGCAACAAGGGAAATGCTCAGATTTCTGCCTTCAGGATATATTCATCAACACACCATGCCCAAGACTTCCAAAACTTGATTATGTAAAGGAAACCTACACTACTTCAAATCATTACCAAAAACAGTAAATAAACTGGACCTAGAAAATACAAATGGGTAAGTACTCTACACCTATAAATGATCCAATAACTTAAAAGGCGAAAAAGAAAGCAGAAAAGGTAAAAAGCATTTCTTTACTCCACCATTTAAAAACGTATTTTCATCAGTGCTGTTCAGTTTGTGGTCCTGTGAAGGTGGATTCCCCTCACACGCCTACTGCTAACAGTATCGTAAGACAACCGCTGATACTCAGGAGTACTAGCCTTCAAAGACAACCCTGGGAAAGTCTGGGTGAAGAGGCTGTCAGATATTACTGAAAAGTGAGGACATACACATTTCTGTTTCCTTTTTAGTAAACATATAATTTTGTTACCTTGTCATCAATTTTTATCCACAAGACAAAAAAACTGCAGAAATCCTAAAATATCCAGAAACTTTCCACATATTAAGAATCACTGGCCGAGCGTGGTGGCTCAAGCCTGTAATCCCAGCACTTTGAGAGGCCGAGGAAGGTGGATCACGAGGTCAACAGATCGAGACCATCCTGGTCAACATGGTGAAACCCCGTCTCTACTAAAAATACAAAAAATTAGCTGGGCATGGTGGCGCGTGCCTGTAATCCCTGCTGCTCGGGAGGCTGAGGCAGGAGAATTGCCTGAACCCAGGAGGCGGAGGTTGCGGTGAGCTGAGATCGCGCCATTGCACTCCAGCCTGGGTAACAAGAGCGAAATTCCATCTCAAAAAAAAAAAAAATCACCAACAGGTCGATGAGTAGTTAGACGGACTGAACTAACTGTACCTTGCCACGTGAATACAATCTGTTAATATCTGTGGCTTTGAAAAATTTAACTAAAGTTGTGTACATTGGCTCACACCTGTAATCCCAGCACTTTAGGAGGCCAAGGTTGGGGGATCGCTTGCGCCCAGGAGGTCAAGGATGCAGTGAACCATGATAGCACCACTGCACTTCAGCCTGGGCAACAGAGCAAGACCCAGCCTCGAGAAATAAATACATACATAAATAAATAAACATATAAATTTCTAACTACATTACCTTAACATATTCAAATAAAACAATACTCCCACCTAGTGGATAAAAGGAAAATGTCTTGCTTATTTCGGTTGTGAATACCACCACCATAAAGAAAGAATTAAAACTACAATTAATTTTTTAAAATTTTATTCCGTTTCATCATTCTCAAAATATATTCCCCAAAAGTAATCTACAAAAGAGTGCCCGCTGCTCCCCTTAAAGAAATGGACATGTAATCTACATTACAAAACAATGTTTAAGATCATGTATAAATGTTACTCTGAATCTCATTTGTTGTCATCAATTTCTTTAGTATCTCAGTGCTCTGGGGAATATTCTGGAAGGAGAGAAAAAAGTGAATACAGTGAGACCAGGAATTCAGGCAGAGGCAACACACTCCCCCCTCCCCCAGCCCCCCACTAATCTCCACACTCTCGACACTTGAAGACAGCAGCCATGGGACAGGTGTGGCCTTTACTCTCCCCTTCTAAACAAAAAGGCCAGTGGGGAGTCAGTTCAGCAGGCCCTTTCTGCCACAGTCACCAATAATCTGGCCTCCAATGGTCTCCTGGCCTCCAGAGGAAGTCTACACTCTGACCCAGCCAACCTTCACCACAAGATGTCCTCCTCCTCTCTCCATCCCCAATACCACATTCCTCACGGCTCTCCTCACACTTCCCCACTCTGCTCACACCACTTCCCTCTGCACACTTCTACCCTCTAAGATCCATCCATCTTTCAAATCCAACTAAACTGCCACACTGGAAGAACTCAAAACAGTTTCACCTGATTGAAAATATCACTTTTAAATGGTCAGAACAATGAACAGACTCAGTCTGATGCATTTGGTCATTAAGAAAACAGCCCCTGCAGAATCATCATCTTATCCTCCTGCTAATCAATATCTCCAAAGCAAAAATGAAAATGCTGAAAGAGTTACTTAAATTTCCCTTTGAAAGTATACTCATAAAAGCTGAGCTTCCTTAAGCCCTACAGGACAGATGATTTCCAAGTCTCAGAACAAGTCCCAGTGTTTGTGATGCAGCTATGTGCTAAGCACAGTCGCACAGCAGTAAACACAATGGCCCAGCCCCTGCCCAAGGGAACTCATCTCTAAGTTAACTGGAATGAGCTAATTGGCTAACTAAGCAAAGGAGACAATCAGTGTATTACTCTGAAAGAGATGCTAGACAGAAAATAACTCTATGTGTCAGAAAGATTGCCCCTGATTCTAGTTAATTTGAAAGACAAGCTTGCGGCATACCAAACAGAGAGTTTTACAACTGTACTCTTCAACAAATGGTTATTGATGGCTTTATTCAACATGCCAGGTATGTGGTAAACTTGGACTACCAAAATTTAAAAACGTGATTTGTTACCACAAGGAGCTGACAATCTGGTAAGGAAATAATTTATGAGACCTGGGAAATGAGCTACTTCCAACAAGTTACCACAAAAGTCTTAACACTAATGGCCATTCCAGAATAAAACCGGGCTGAGGGACAATGTTGCTACAGCCTCTCTCCTTTAAAGAAACCCTCCTTAAACTAGGGGCTATGGACTTCCAAAACAATCTCTTAAAGCAATGAAATCCCTAAACTATCTGAAAACAGGCAAACTTTTTTATGTACACATTCCAATTTTCTTAGAAAATGGGCCCAGAAATATAAACTTATGGTTAAAAAAAAAGGTTTATTATGTAATCCTCTCATCTTCACATATCCAGTTCTCTGTAAAATTGGGTAAATATTATAATTTGAGCCATACTATACTTAAAAATAACCTTCTGAAAAATTAAATTTGTTTTTAAAAAACTTACAAATTAGTTATAGAAACTTCTTGAACAGTAAAACCATCTGTCCACATAGACATTTGCGATTTAACTACACCGCATTAATCTATCATACAAGAACACAGCATTCAGCAACTTACAGACCTCCACAGAAGAGACAATGACAAATTCAAACAGCCAGACTAGGAAGCTTCACTTTAAGAAGAAGGGGTCTCCATGCATTGCTTAGGGTTTAAAATGACACCATACATTTATGTTTGTTACGAAGCTCATTGTAACAACTCAGCTATTAAACAAGTTAAAACCTTACCTTAACCAAACCTTTCAAGCTCCTGGTAGAAAGCAGAGGCTTAAAAGCTTCCACTGTAATTAGATCTAATTTCATCACATCAGTATAACACAAGTACAGAATTGCTGGGATTTTCCATACTTGACAGTAACTAAGAACTATGAATATACAAGGGAAAAAAAAAGTAAGTTTTCTATTATATTATTTTTAAATTAAACACCTTTAAATAATAAAGGCTGTTTCTAAAAGTAATCTCAGCTGCCTCTTTCAGTCAAGGTATTCACTGCAATTCTGGACCAATGATAATGTAGATTTTCTTCCAAAGTCAACTTATTTTCCTAATAATCTCTTCTTTTGCAAATACTAACTTTATATTTCCTGAAAGTACAGCTGAGATGATTTTAAGCAGCTGAAAGATGAAAATCCTACTGACTATAATAAAGCATATGTAAATAACAAATACAAAATGCGTAAGGTAAAATATTTAGCCACTTCTCTTTCTAGCAAACACTTAAAGCAAAATAAAACCCAACCAAACCCTGTTTAATACAGTTCAAATAATAAATAACAATTATGTAATATATTATCCACTGAAAAGTAAATGGTAGTCTGTCATATGATGGCAGATGTGAGTGACAGTAATAAAAAAATTAAAGCAACTAACAAGATTCAATATTCAAAACTTCTATCTTGATAATTAAAACATACTTTATCAACTTTTCATGCACCAATAATTTATATTTAATGCGGGCTTGCATTCTGAATAATCAAAGACCAAAAAGAAACACAGCAATTCTGAAGCCTAACAGTTAAGAAATTGGAGCTCCTCAAATAAGTGGGTCTTGAAAATTTGAAAACTCAAGCCAGAGATGCTGACTGCACTTGTAACTACAGACACTGAGGATTAACAGCAATATATGGTATCAATCATTGTTAATAATCCACCTTAAAAAGATCTCTAACAGTGAAAGCGTATTAATAAAGTGATAACAAAATATAATATAAATATTACAAATTTTAATACCACCTGCTGCAGGAAGGTCGTGTACTATATTTGGTTGCTCCAGCAATGGACAACACGCAGGGTCTTTGAAATTCTGTGTTTTTAGGGCTTTCAGGAAAGGAGAAGGAAGGCTGCCAGTGGACTCTGAGGTTTTATAATCGGTAACATGTCGACATGTGAGAATAGTTATCTGCATGTTCTTCCTTGGACAAGAGCCAAAAACCTAACATAAAATTGATTTCAAATTAAAAAAACATATAATCTTGTTACAGAATGGAAACATTCCTCTAGGTATTCCTCTAATACCACAGACAATAAAAGCATGCCTAGCCAGGGTGGGAACGTGTGTTGGAGAAACAGAACACATCTGCTGTCTCAACCTGGGTTTGATCTTGGTTCTGCTTACTAGGTGGGCAACTTTTCCAAGTCACTTTCCTCACTGGTGAAAGAAGGTGACATAGTTTGGATGTTTGTCCCCTCCAAATCTCACGTTAAAATGTGATTCCCAATGTTGGAGGCAGAGCCTGGTGGAAGTGACTGGATATGGGAGCGGATCCCTCATGAATAGCCTAGCACCATCCCGTTGGTGATACATGACTTCTCATTTCTCGTTCAGTTCATGCTAGAGCTGGCTGTTCAAAGGAGGCTGGTTCCTCCTTCCTCTCTTGCTCCCTTTCTCGCCATGTGATGTGCCTCCTTCCCCTTCACCTTCCACCATGACTGAGGCTTCCTGAGGACTCAGAAGAAGCCAAGCGGATGCCAGCACCATGCTTCCTGTATAGCCTGCAGAACTGTGAACCAATTAAACCTCTTTTCTTTTTTCTTTTCTTTTTTTTTTTTCTTTTTTTTTTTTTGAGACGGAGTTTCGCTCTTGTTACCCAGGCTGGAGTGCAATGGCGCGATCTCTGCTCACCACAACCTCCGCCTCCTGGGTTCAGGCAATTCTCCTGCCTCAGCCTCCTGAGTAGCTGGGATTACAGGCACGCATCACCGTGCCCAGCTAATTTTTTATATTTTAGTAGACACGGGGTTTCACCATGTTGGCCAGGATGGCTTTGATCTCTTGACCTCATGATCCACCTGCCTCGGCCTCCCAAATTGCTAGAATTACAGGCATGAGCCACCATGCCCAGCCTAAACGTCTTTTCTTTATAAATTACCCAGCCTCAGGTATTCCTTTATAGCACCACAAGAACAGACAAACCCATAAGGCCAGCACTACCTTAACGGGCCTGCAGTGTGGAATAAATGAAGTCACAGAATGCCAGAGGAGTGACTACAGGCCTGCCGTCCAGAGGAAAAAAGTCACAAGTACACACCTGGCACTCCTTCCCTCACCCACCTGCCACTGACGCCTGAAAAGTGCCATTTTTGGAATTACCACACTTATAGGTAAGTTTCAATCACTGTGGTTCTCAATGTCCTTTTCTATAACTAGAAGTAGTCTGGATTTGATAGACTTCCAAGAATTCTTTTACCTTTTAATAAGATCTAAAGTGATATAAACAAAGAAAGATGGGCGGAAGGAATCCAACTGTGTTTTATACTCCTCAATGCTGAGGACGGTAGGTCACAGAAGTACAAAACACGGTTGGTTGGTCATGTCAAATAAGCAAGTTCTTTTATTCTTTATATTCAAAAACAAATTCCTGTAATATTCTTCAGAAATAAATTCCTTTCCCATATCAATATCTGACTGCATAAGTTTAAGTGAAAAGACACTGAACCCTTAAAAAAATGAAAACTCCTATAGACTAACCATTCACAGGTTTTCATTTCTCTTACCTTTTCCAGCCACTGATACTGTTGATCTTCTGCAACGTAGCAACTGCACTGACAGAGGAAAACCTGAAAAGTCAAGTTCCACATTTTTTGTCAAGTAAGTTTTATATACACGCCAAACTATCACCATATATGTAACGTGAATAACGACACATAGATACTACGTATTTTCCTGGCTCCACTATCGACCTACTTATTTCTCTTGAAAATTTAAGAGTCAAACCACTACTAGTGATTAGTGTCAGAAAGAGTGCACGCTGACAGAGCAACTGAAAGCCCTGACATGTTAAAGTATACTACCAGTAAATACCATGGAAGTCAGACTTAAAGAGCCACTTTTCAAACATACAAGTCCCACCTACCGAGGGATTGGATTTGAGATGATAAAACACACAAAAAGCCTCTGTGGAGGACAGATGTATAGTGTCTGTTGTTCTACACCATTCATTCCAGAGTTTAGCACAACCAACTTCTTCCCAGACTCCTGAATTCATAACAAATGATGATAGAAATGCTGTAAAAAACAATTCACGTTAAGTCAGAGTTTGGCTCTGCAAGCGGTATTTTCTTTTTTTTTTAATCATACTTAATTTCTGGGGTACATGTGCAGATCTTGCAGCACTATTACATAGGTATACACATGCCATGGTGCTTTGCTGCCTCCATCCCCCTATCACCTACATTGTTATCCCTCCCCAATGTTATCCCTCCCCAATCTCCCCAACCACCACTATTCATCCCAACCCCCACCCTGCCAAAAGACCCCAGTGTGTGATGTTCCCCTCCGTGTCCATGTGTTCTTATTGTTCAACACCCACCTATGACTGAGAACATGTGATGTCTGGTTTTCTGTTCTTCTGTTAGTTTGCTGAGAATGATGGTTTCCAGATTCATTCATGTCCCTGCAAAGCACGTGAACTCATCCTTTTTATGGCTGCATAGTATTCCATGGCATACCTGTGCCACATTTCCTTAATCCAGTCTACAATTGATGGGCATTTGGGTTGGTTCCAGGTCTTTGCTATTGTAAACTGTGCTGCAATGAACATACATGTGCATGTGTCTATAACAGAACGATTTATAATCCTTTGAGTATATACCTAGTAATGGGATTGCTCAAATAGCATTTCTATTTCTATATCCTTGAGGAATTGCCGCACTCTCTTCCACAATGGTTGAACTAATTTACACTCCCACCAACAGTGTAAAAGCATTCCTATTTCTCCACATCCTCTCCAGCATCTGTTGTCTCCAGATTTTTAAAGATCATCATTCTAACTGGAGTGAGATGGTATCTCAGTGTGGTTTTGATTTGCATTTCTCTAATGACCAGTGATGATGAGCATTTTTTCATGTTTTTTGACCACAGAGATGTCTTCTTTTGAAAAGTGTCCATTCATATCCTTCACCCACTTTTTGATGGGGCTTTTTTCTTATAAATTTGTTTTAGTTCTTTGTAGATTCTGGATAGTAGCCTTTTGTCAGATGGGTAGCTTTCAAAAATTTTTTCCCATTCTGTTGGTTGCTGCTTTAGTCTAATGATCGTTTCCTTTGCTGTGCAGAAGCTCTTAAGTTTAATTAGATCCCATTTGTCTATTTTGGCTTTTGTTGTCATTGCTGTTAGTGTTTCAGTCATGAAGTCCTTGCCTATGCCTATGTCCTGAATGGTATTGCCTAGATTTTCTTCCACGGTTTTTATGGCATTAGGTCCTATGTTTAAATCTTTAATCCATCTGGAGTTAATTTTTGTATAAGGTGTAAGGAAGGGGTCCAGTTTCAGCTTTCTGCACATGGCTAGCCAGTTTTCCCAACACCATTTATTAAACAGAGAATCCTTTCCCTATTGCCTTTGTCAGGTTTGTCAAAGATCAGATGGTTGTAGATGTGGGGCATTACTTCCGAGGCCTCTGTTCTGTTCCACTGGTCTGTATCTGTTTTGGTACCAGTACCATGCTGTTTTGATTACTGTACCCTCATAGTATAGTTTGAAGTCAGGTAGCATGATGCCTCCAGCTTTGTTCTTTTTGCTTAGGATTGTCTTGGCTATGTGGGCTCTTTTTTGGTTCCATATGAAGTTTAAGGTGGTTTTTTTCCAGTTCTGTGAAGGTGGTCAATGGTAGCCTGATGAGGATAACACTGAATCTATAAATTAGACAGTATGGCCATTTTCACAATATTGATTCTTCCTAAGCATGAGTATGGAATGTTTTTCCATCTGTTTGTGCCCTCTCTTATTTCCTTGAGCAGTGGTTTGTAGTTCTCCTTGAAGAGGTCCTTCACATCCTTTGTTAATTGTATTCCTAAGTATTTTATTCTCTTTGTAGCAATTGTGAATGGGAGTGTGCTCATGATTTGGCTCTCTGTTATTAGTGCATAGGAACGCTTGTGATTTTTGCACAAGGATTTTGTATCCTGAGACTTTGCTGAAGTTGCTTATCATCAGAAGGAGATTTTGGGCTGAGATGATGAGGTCTTCTAAACATACAATCATGTTATCTGCAAATACAGATAATGTGACTTCCTCTTTTCCTAACTGAATACTTTTTATTTCTTTTTCTTGCCTGATTGATCTGGCTAAAACTAATACTATGTTGAATAGGAATGGTGAGAGAGGGCACCCTTGTCTAGTGCCAGTTTTCAAAGGGAATGCTTCCAGTTTTCACCCATTCAGTATGATACTGACTGTCGGTTTGTCATAAATAGCTTTTATTATTTTGATGCACATTCCATCAATACCTAATTTATTGAGAGTTTTTAGCATGAAGGGCTGTTGAATTTTGTCAAAGGCCTTCTCTGCGCCTATTGAAATAATCATGTGGTTTTTGTCTTTGGTTCTGTTTATGTGATGGATTATGTTTATAGATTTGCATAAGTTGAACCGGATTTGCATCCCCGGGATGAAGCCTACTTGATAGTGATAGATAAGCTTTTTGATGTGCTGTTGCATTCAGTTTGCCAGTATTCTACTGGAGATTTTTGCATCAATGTTCATCATGCACACTGGCCTGTAATTTTCTTTTTTAGTTGTGTTTCTGCCTGGTTTTGGTATCAGGATGATGTTAGACTCATAAAATGAGTTAGGGAGGATTCCCTCTTTTTGTATTATTTGGAATAGTTTCAGAACGAATGGTACCAGCTCCTCTTTGTACATCTGGTAGAATTTGGCTGTGAACCTGTCTGGACCTTGACTTTTTTTGGTTGGTAAGCTATTAAGTGCTACCTCAACTTCAGACCTTGCTTTTGGTCTATTCAGGGATTCAACTTCTTCCTGGTTAAGTCTTAAGAGGGTGTAAGTATCCAGCAATTTATCCATTTCTTCTAGATTTACCGGTTTATGTGCATAGAGGTGTTTGTAGCGATCTCTGATGGTAGGTTGTATTTCTATGGAATCAGTGGTGATATCCCGTTTGTCATTTTTTATTGCATCTATTCGATTCTTCTCTCTTTTCTTTTTCATTAGTCTGGCTAACGGTCTATCTATTTTGTCGATCTTTTCAAAAAACCAGCTTCTGAATTTAATGATTTTTTTACAGGGTTTTTTGTGTCTCTGTCTTTCAGTTCTGCTCTCACCTTAGTTATTTCTTGTCTTCTGCTAGCTTTTGAATCTGTTTGATCTTACGCCTCTAGTTTTTTTTAATTACAATGATAGGGTGTCAATTTTAGATCTTTCCTCACTTCTCATGTGGGCATTTAGTGCTACAAATTTTCCTCTAGACACTGCTTTAAATGTGTCCCAGAGATTCTGGCACACTATGTCTTCATTCTCATTGGTTTCGAAGAACATCTTTATTTCTGCCTTCATTTCATTATTTACCCAGTAGTCATTCAGGAGAAGGTTGTTCAGTTTCCATGTAGTTGTGCAGTTTTGAGTGAGTTTCTTAATCCTGAGTTCTATTTGGACTGCACTGTGCTCTGAGAGACTGGTTGTTATGATTTCTGTTCTTTTGCATTTGCTGAGCAGTGATTTACTTTCAATTATGTTGTCAATTTTAGAGTAAGTGCAATGTGGTGCTGAGAAGAATGTAAATTCTGTGGATTTGTGGTGGAGAGTTCTGTAGTCTATTAGGTCCGCTTGGTACAGATCTGCATTCAAGTCCTCGATATCCTTGTTGATTTTCTGTCTCATCGATCTATTGTTGACAGTGGAGTGTTAAAATCTCCCACTATTATTGTGTGGGAGTCTAAGTCTCTTTGTAGGTCATTAAGAACTTGCTTTATATATCTGGGTGCTCCTGTATTGGGTGCATACAGGTTTAGGATAGTTAGCTCTTCTTGTTTATGTAATGCCCTTCTTCGACTCTTTTTATCTTTGTTGGTTTAAAGTCTGTTTTATCAGAGACTAGCATTGCAACCCCTGCTTTTTTGTTGTTGTTGTTCTCCATCTGCTTGGTAAATCTTCCATCCCTTTATGTTGAATCTATGTGTGTCTTGCACACGAGATGGGTCTCCTGAATACAGCACAGTGATAGGTCTTGACTTTTTATCCAATTTCCTAGTCTATGTCTTTTGATTGGGGCATTTGGCCAGTTTACATTTAAGGTTAATATTGTTATGTGTGAATCTGATCCTGCCATTTTGATATCAGCTGGTTGTTTTACCCATTAGCTGATGCAGTTTCTTCATTGTGTTGATGATCTTTACCATTTGGTATGGTTTTGCAGTGGCTGGTAGTGGTTGTTCCTTTCCATGTTTAGTGCTTCCTTCAGGAGCTCTTGTAAGGCAGGCCTGGTGATGATGAAATCTCTCAGCAATTGCTTTTCTGTAAAGGATTTTATTTCTCCTTCACTTATGAAGCTTAGTTTGGCTGGATATGAACTTCTGGGTTATCTTCTTTAAGGATGTTGAATATTGGCCCCCACTCTCTTCTGGCTCATAGGGTTTCTGCTGAGAGATCCTACTGTGAGTCTGATGGGCTTCCTTTTGTGGGTGACCTGACCTTTTTCTCTGGCTGCCCTCAGCATTTTTTCCTTCATTTCAACCCTGGTGAATCTGACGATTACGTGCCTTGGGGTTGCTCTTCTCAAGGAGTATCTTTGTGGTGTTCTCTGTATTTCCTGGATTTGAATGCTGGCCTCCTTGCTAGGTTGTCTCTGTCACCCAAGCTGGCCCACTGTCAGTGGGAGGATAGTGGGCCAGCTCACTGCAGCCTCGAAATCCTGGGCTCAGGTAAACCTTCCATCTCAGACTCCTGAGTAGCCAGGGCTACAGACAAACATCACCATGCCTGGCTACATTTTTTTATTTTTTTGTAAAGATAGAGTCTCACTATTTTGGCTAGGCTGGTCTCAAACTCCTCTCCTCAAGTGATCCTCATGCCTTGGTCTCCCAAACAGCTGGGATTACATATGCGAGCCACTGTGACTGGCCTAAATCTGATATTTTTCAGTTCATTAAAAAGATGGTGCAGGCCAGGTGCTGTAGCTCACACCTATAATCCCAGCTCTTTGGGAGGCTGAGGCAGGAGGATCACTTGAGGACACAAGTGCAAGACCAGCCTGGGCAACACAGCAAGAACCCATCTCTACCAAAAAAAAAAAAAAAAATGATGATGCAACATGAGCAGGACAGAGATTTTCCTCAGAAACACAATCACTCTACTGTGGCTTTTTTTTAAGTACCAGACATTTTAAATCTTTTATGATGGAAGGAAATGTGTAACTTTATATTTAAATATTTCAACAAAATGACTAGTCTGCATTTCACTTACCTACTGCATTATTTCCTATGGCGATTATAAACTTGGAGCACGGATATTTCTCTAGCAAAGAAACTTCCAAAGATGTTTTTGTTTGTCTTCGCAGGAGCCGCACCTCCCTAACACAAGAAACAAGATGAAACTAAAGCAACTTCAATATAAACAGTACCATGTTACTGAGACAAAAGGGCGCTATATGTACTATTTGCAATAAATAAAATACACATTTGTTTTATAAAGAATTAATATCCTCAGGAAACAATGGACTCAGGTAATGATAACCAACAGATAAAACTACTGCATACAAGTTTACAGAGAACTCTAAAATAGTGATCAGGCTCTCCACCTGACCCAAGGGTCAATCTTAGCATCCCTAAGAGGGAGACAACCGGTCAGAGCCTGCAACAAGAAACAGCACCACTTAGACAAAAACACTACATCTGACCAAGCCTCCAAATGAACATTCATTTACAGGACATGCAGCTGATACACACGTTAAGTGACATCACAAGGAAGTGATCAGACAAATTCAGAGTGTAGGGCACTGGATAGGACAACCAGTCCTGTCCCTTAGGAGGGGTAAAAGAGGAGGCTGCTCTAAATCAAGTGAGACGTCTAACGGTAACCTGTGGACCTTGTTAGGATTCTCATTCACACAAACCACTGTAAAATGTCCTGTTTGAGAAAACTAGGTAAACCTGAGTGAGCATGGACTGACTCTGAAATGATACCGACAAATTATTATTAGTGTTGTTATATACAATAGCACATATAAGAAAATCGCTAAAATGTTTGAAATGTATTCTGAAAAATGTAGAGGTGAAAGGCCACAATGACTGGAATATGCTTATGGGTGGTGGGAGAGGAAATAAACATGGCAAAATCTTCCTAAGTGTTGCATTTACCTGGTTATGTAGGCGTCAGGGCTCACTTGACTATTTTCTCTCACTTTTGTGTGTTTGGAAACAATTCTTTTAAAGAGTGTTCATCTGCTACTGACACATTATGCTAACTGAAGTGTGGGACGGAGGTCTCAAAAGTTTCGAAGGAATCCGTGTGTCCGTTAACAACCCATGACAAACGCGGTGGGGCCGACGGGAGCGCTGCGGCCAAAGACAATGTGACAGGCTGGAAGATCACGAGTCCATAAGACACCAGGCCTCCAGAAATGCTCCAGGAAGCCTTTAAGGAATGGATCTGAACCCAGCCCTCCCACGGCGGCTTCACCCTGGACTCGACGAAACGCCAGCGGATCCATACGAGCACAGCACACACCTGGGGCTGGCGCCGCCTGATGCCTCCTTCACGGAGACCCAGGGCCCGGGCAGAGCCACCGAGCGGCGGCAACCGCGGCGGCCACTTGGGCCTCAGGGGAAGACCGCAGAGCCCCAACCTCAGGCGCCGTAGCGGCTTCCGGGCCCGCGCACCTTCCCGCGGCGGGTAGCGCGCCGCCCTTACCCGGGTACCTCACCTCTTCCGCGCCAGCTGCTGCCGCACCTCCCTGTCCTCTGGCGTCTCCCTCCGCCCCTCATCCTCCTCCTCCTCGTCCTCTGTCCCAGCTCGACACGGTGCCTTCACCACCTCTCCGAAGAACGTGGCCGCCATGGGCGCACCAGAACCCGCTGGACACAACTGCGGCGCCGCGGAACTGCGCACGCCAGCTTACGCCAGACCACGCCCCCTCACCACGCGGGAGACGTAACCCACCCCGCAGAAGCCACGCCCTCCGCGCAGAGCCCGAGATTGTGGCCACAGCCCCACCGCGCAGGCCACGCCCCCAGGCGCAGCCGAGCTAGCTGCCACGCCCTCTGCACCGCCCGCCCGCGCTGCCACGCCCTGGGCCGGGGAGTCCCAGCAGCTTTTTTTTTGTTTTTTTTGAATTACAGATGGTGGTCTCGCTATGTTGTCCAGTCTGGTCTCGAACTCCTGGGCTCAAGCGATCCTCCTGCTTAGGCCTCCAGAAGTGCTTGGATTACAGGCGTGATCCACCGCGCCCGGCCCCCGCGTTTTTCATTAACAGCTTGAGCCCCGCGGGCGCAGAGAAGTAGGACTGCGGGCTAGAGGGGCGGGCGGAGGACGGTCCTCCGCTCGCTGAGGTAGCGGAACCCGGGATGCAGGGGCAGTGCCAGCGCCACGGGCCGTAGCGTTAGGGAATTGTGCCCTCGCAGGTCCTTCCCTCCTCGTCTGTTTCCCTTTTCCTGCTGCGTTAGGAGAGACTGGCGGAGCCTTGGTGTACTGAACACCCGCTCCGAACTTCGACTGCCCAGGTAGGTGGCGGCGCGGTGGCACTGAGGACCCCTGGAGCCAGGCGCGCCGTCAGACAGCGGGCACGGGCGGACCGGAAAGGCAAGAAATACAGCGCTTCGTGGTGGTATAAAAATGAGACCTTTACTCTGGCAATAGGAATTCACATTTCAAAAGCTGATGATTGTCAAGCCGGTTTAAAAAACATTTTTATGAGAATGTAAAAAATAGTGTATTTTTTAAACTTGGCCATTATCTAATACAAAATTTTTCTTTTTAAATAGCCATTGATAAGCAAAATGTGTTTAATTAGTTCTCTTTAAAATGTGCTGGAAGGCAAAGTTCGAGGAGCACTGTTCCAAGCCAGAGAAAAAGGGGACGTCATAATTTTAAATGAAAATACACAGTAATGCAATGAAAAATAACCGTTTCCTATTTAGATTTAGTTCTACTGAACTACACGGCATCGTGTGCATTTTGTGACTTTGTCAGTAGTCACAAAGTAAGTGCTACTTTGGGGTCAGAGAGATCCTCTTGAGATAAAATATCAAAGCTGCTAGAAATATTTTAAGATGTGGAAAAATAATGATCAACAAAATCATTTACATAAAATTATTTAGCAGATTTACACATCTGCAGGAAAAAAATGTGTTTTGAAGCAAAATCTGAACATGTAGCAATAAAATTAAGACCAAATTGCTAGCCAGTGAGAGCTTAGGAAACTGGGTATCCTTAGCGGGACAGAATAAAGATTACCAAAATGAGGTTTCAAAACATTAGGACTCCTGGGTTAACTGGTCTATTATAATGATGGAACTGCAGAATAAAAAGGTTTGGGCACTACATTGTCTTAGTCCTTTTGTTAATTTTGTCATTTTTTTTTTGAGACGGAGTTTCGCTCTTGTTACCCAGGCTGGAGTGCAATGCCGTGATCTCGGCTCACCGCAACCTCCGCCTCCTGGGTTCAGGCAATTCTCCTGCCTCAGCCTCCTGAGGAGCTGGGATTACAGGCACGCACCACCATGCCCAGCTAATTTTTTGTATTTTTAGTAGAGACGGGGTTTCACCATGTTGACCAGGATGGTCTCAATCTCTTGACCTCGTGATCCACCCGCCTCGGCCTCCCAAAGTGCTGGGATTACAGGATTGAGCCACCACACCCAGCAATTTGTCATTTTTACCAGTAAGATCTTCAATTTGATTTCACAATTTCATTAAGAAATATTTTCTGCAAAGCAAATTAATGTAAATAGGGTTATGGTAATACATTTGGCCATGATTTAAATTCTGCACACATTTCAGAGAGAACAATTTTACAAGTTTTAAGCAAATGCTTATTTCATGCAGTTACAATAAATTTAGGCCAAGCACTTTTTAAAAAGGCAATTATGTTTGAATTACTTAGCCAAAAAAGGATTCCATTATGTAAGACTGATAATACAATCTCAAATATTGACAGAAATTAACCCCACCACAGCAAAGTATAAATTCAAAGGTTAAACACCGAAATTGCCAAAAAAAAAAAAAAAAACTTTGCATAAAATAGTCTTCAGTTAAGTACTTCATTTTATAGTTACTTGTTGAGGACATAATCTACTCAAAAAAATATTATAAATTAAGTGTAGTTTTGAACTGGAAAGAAGTTTAAGCATTTCATTAGCGCTCAAAAATCAAATCCCATGCACCTAAAAGTAATAGCAGTTTATTAGGAATTATCTTCCTTCACCTGTGCATCAACATACTGGGGATAGTTTAGATGAAAGTATACCACAAAAGGAGCAAAGAACAGAGACTTAGTAGGTTAGAATAGTCTGGCTTATGCTAAAAAACAAAAAGCCTTTTTTTAAAAAACAGACATGCAACCACAGATTTCTGAAGTATTTTAGACACTTGGTACATCTGTATAACAAAAAAAAAATGCATTTGTCTTAAAAAATAGAAACCTCTAGGTTTCTGTAGTTTTACTTTTTCAAATTTACACATGCAAATCATATATTAATATTCAGGTATTTTTAAATGAGAAACAGCTTACTTTCAACAACTTAATTTTTCCAATAGCACGTTACTATGTTAAAAAATGTGATGGTACATTTATTTAATCTGGCAATTTTAATTTCAACCAATACATATAAACAACAAATTAAATCCTATTGCAAATACATTCTTTGTGGTACCACGACCAGATTTTCTAATCCTAGCAGATGCCACAATGAAATAGGCCAACCATGCGACCATTAAAGTTTGTTGGGATGAGATTGTAATAAATTTACTCAAAGTATTCAAGTTCTAATTTTTAAGGTGCTGTAAAGAAACAAAGATTCACTGTATCATCTAAAAATATGACTGTTTTGATCGTGAGCTATACCTTTTATTTTTTTTCTAACTGATTAAAACCTAAGACCCGCCTCTTAATGAGGCACATTTTTGGCATTTCTGTAAATGCTGCTACAGAAAATGAGGAATAGCTGTGATAGTTAACATTCATAGCTTTCATAGAAAAATATATATTCCCTGAATTAGTCATATCAAGTGGTCATTCAGTACGAACTCCAATATTATAAACAATTGGAGTTCTCTAATTGCCTATTTCCAACACTCCACTTCAGAACTCAGTAATCAGCATCTCAAGCTGAAACTCTCACGTCCTCCTAGTTTGGTTTTTGACCTTTGGGGATGTGAATTGTACGGAGTCAATTTGGGTGGAGTCTTTGCTTCACTCAAAAGTCAAATAGGCCCATTAGCACTTCCTTTGGAAAAGTGCCTAATATTTTTTCCTCATGACACCATAATTGTCATGGTCTGAATCTTTACTCTCTACTGGAGAACCCTTAAAATTAGCATCAGGTTGAGATTTTTAAATTTGTTCACTCCAAGGTGTTCCTAGCCTGTACACTTCCCATTATATTTTTCCTCTATCAAATCAAGTCTTCAAGGCCTTACTTTCTGGATAGAGGAATAGTAGTCTTATAGCAGGCCATTTGTCTTTTCTTTCAACCTCTCTACCTACAGACTCTGCAATCTATTTCCTCTTCAGAAATCCCTAGAGCACGTGTCTGTTCAAGAGCTGACTGGGAGGAACTCACTGGATTATGGCCTTTAGAAAATTCCTCTGAAGATGCCGATCGGGGATTAATTTTAGAGCTGGGGGCCTTATGTAACTGCCAGTTTACTTGTGGCCCAACTGTTTTCAGATACCACTTCTACATTCCCATAGTCACTCTTGTGCATTTTCTTTCCAGGATCTGAACCCCTTTAAGAAAAGCATTTTGCTATTAGTAACTTCTAGCTCTTTTTCACTTTCAGAATTTATGGTTGTATCATCCTCTTTATAATAAGCATTCAGTAATTTTTTCTTGGCCGCAGCAGAAGCATTTCGATGGGGCAGTTTTCTGCTACTCTTCCTAACCCGGACATTTTCTGGTCCTGAGATCGTTTCTTTTAGATTACTCATTATCTTTATTTTATCTGCAGCAACAGTAGCACATCTGCGGGGAACTTTCTCAGGTACCATTTTTGCTTTCAGAGTTTCACTAGGCATCTGCACTGCATCCTTCTCATTATGCATACATGTTCTCACTTTTGTATTGGGTTCTCTGTCTCTAGGAACAAATTCTGAAAAATGAGTGAAAGTTCATGTAAATGCCAAAATCTTGTAACACAAGATTTTACTACTAACATTCCTCAACAACACTCATTCAGAAACAAATTTTAAGTCATACTGCTAAATTTTTAAATGTGATACTAAGGGCTTTTGACATTGATATAACCTTACATTTGCTTATCTACAACTATAAGGATGTCACTTAAAACAGTAGCAGACTTTAAGAATGGGGTTAAAGTTCCTTCAGCATTGGCATCATAAAGCTGCTAATCTAAAAACATACGTATGAGCATTTTACATAATTTCAATTATTAAATCTTAATTTCATTGTTCCAATATTTTCTGCCC